CTTCATGTGTGAAGTGGGTACAAAAACAGTACTTGTTTCATAGAGTTGTCTAATGCATGAAAAGTATTTAGAACAATGCCTGTCATATAGCAATTTATCAATATATGATAGCTATTATTATATTTATATAATCACTACCTCTTTATGATTTCTATTACTGTTTATAGAGGATAAAATAGTATGCACTTTATGGAGGATTAAGTTCAATGACCATTCATATAAACCATTCAAAATGGCACAGAGTAGATACTCAATAAATGTTAACTATTATCTGTAAAATAATTTGCAAATATTTTGTGAAGTGTAATTGGGATAATACATTTAAAGGCCAGCATAGAGAGAAGAACAGAAAAGATGCTCAATAAATGTTAGTGCCAACATGGAAATATTTTCTTTTCCCACAGACTTAACCATGAAAACTTATGAAAGATAAACATTAGAAGTGTGTTCCCACTTGTTAGAAATATTCCTTGTACCTTTGATGTAATGATATTTTAAAGCCAAATCAGCCTTTGTGAGGGTTAACATTAGAGGAAACCATCCTGATGTCAATTCAGATAGCTAAGGAATTACCTACCAACTAAGTAATAAAATTGATCCCCCCTTCTCATGCTCATGATTCTTTCAAATTCTCCTTCATTCTTCCGTATCTGTGAGGGGCTTATGGAGACCTCTCACTCTATCTCCCTTCCTGTGAAAGGCTAGCTTTCTTCGGGACATTCATCTTCCATATGAAACTGCTGATGCCGTTTGCGTCAGAAAGAACCTGATTTACCCCTTTGAACCTTCAGCAACCAAAATCACATCACTCCCGGGTACACCAGTACTCTGGAGGTACAATCACTATCCACCCATGCAACAAATGCCTCACCTGGTTTCTGCAAGCATTTAACAGGGAAAACCACACTTGGGACTGAGAGCACCGGGTTATAAGCCCCAGGGGATGGTGGGGTGGGAGGTCGGGGGGCCCTGGAAGAGTTCCAGACAATCCTTTTATTTTTTTATTTTCTTTGTGAAAAGCATGTACCTCCCAGTACCACAGCATCAGTGCTGCTGCCAGAAGTACTTAGGCACTAGCCTCATTTTGCGGGCTGAGGGTTATACTCCTCCATTTACAGTGATTATCGACATTCTTTACACCAAGCTGCCCTCAGAGAAGGGGACTTGGCAGGGCTCGGCAGCAATGTCAGCAACTTCTCAGTTGTTGTCTTTCAGTTTCAGAAATGGAAGGTTTCAGAGCCCAAAACTAGGGATGGTTTGTTCAACATCTGCTTCCCTCTAGATGGGGTGAGAGGTGGACTGGGAGAGGTCTTGGTGTTTGTGGTGACTGTTTCCATTGTTTGTCTTGGGCTCCCAGGGGGGCAGCAGGCTCTAATGGAAACAGCATTGGCTTTGGAATTAGTCACATCTGTGTTCACATCTCAGCTGTGTCACTTACATGTGTGTACTTGGGCAAATTAAGTTTTTCTGGGACTCATTTCAGTCATCAATAAAATGGGTTTCATGAATTCAGAACTGGCAGTGTTGGTGTGAGGATCAAATTACGTAATTATGGAAAGGCATCCAACAGATGTGCTTTTTTCCTTCAATCGTTGCTCAGCCATCATGAGATAGACACTTAAGACTCTGTTGGCCACCCGGACCATGATTTCCTTGCTACCAGAAGTGTCAGAAAGCTTGTATCTGCCTAAGAGCTGTAAGTGAAATAGGCAACTGATCATTATCCCAAATATACTCATTTTTAGATGTCACACCAACCTTAGTGACAACATAGTAGAGAGATATTACATAGTTGTTTTCAACTCCAAATCCTATCCTCTTCAATCCCCATCCCCTGCCATCTTCCCACCACTAGTGAAAGTTGATCTCGGCTGCTGTTGCTGGTATTGTCTCCATTCTATCCACCTTTGGCTATCATGCTCTGTAGCAGCTGTTGCTGCTGTCAGAGCCTGTGAGAAATGGTCAGTGCTGATGGCCCAGGTGCTGTGCCTTTCAGCTTTGCCCACAGCCTTTAGCATCACTGCTTCTCTCTTTTTGCTGCTGTCTTTATCTCAAGGTCTCCTGGCATTCCTGCCACCAGGATCTTCTCAGTCAGAAAAGCCTCTCTCCTTGCAGTGATTACAGGTCTAGCCCTAGCTGTAAGCTTTTGGGTTCTGCTGAGGATCTCGAAACACACAGGTTTAAAGAGGCTGGGCTGATGTTGTATGAGAGACACTGTCCAGGATCATATCATGCACATACTCAGTGTCGTTGAACAAGTCAGTGACCAAGAATTGGGCACAAACATCTCAAATTCAGCTTCCTTCTACTGAAACATCTTTATCCTAGTGTCAGTTCAGAGATCAGCTGAGTCTCCAAATATCTTCTCTGACTCCCGGGTATATAACTACCCCATCATGGGCATGAGGAAGTAAATAGCAAAGTCCTCATCCATGCAGCAACTTATGTTGAGTAGGGAACATTTATACTCTACCCTTGTAGTTTGATTTTCAGTGCAATTAATTATATAGCTACTAATGCCCTGTGTTGAGGAACAACTGGAGTGAAGGCAAAAATAGAGTAACAGTTATCTTGAGAGATGATGGCGAGTCTCCAGGCAGGTGAATGCAGCTCCAAATCATGGAGGCTTAGTGCACACTGGAAAAACTGAGGTTATATACATCTAAGTGATAGCAATTAGTAACAGAAACAGTAAGAGCACTAGGCATACACTTGTTGATCTCTTTATAGAAGAGGAGTAAAGACTTTTTGAAGGATTGAACTCTGAGTAATTATAGACAGAGGAACTTACAAAGCTCTTTATTCTCTTTATTGTATGTATTCACGTGGTTACCCAGGAGAGCCACACTAGCATAGGCCTACAGAGATGCAACATGTAGAACAGAAGAAAATAGGGGATTTCACACCGAGATACCATATCAGCCACTTGGGGTTTGGAAATGTGGCTATAAGATTTATCATCAAAACTAGGGCTCTTTTGAGAATTAAAAGGGGAAATATTACAATGAAACTTTCCCAGGCACAAAATTATAACATATGATCACCCTAGGCATAGACTCTTGCCAATTGCTATTGAGATCTATAGATAGAAACACTGAATGCATGCCTGTACATGATTTAAAATTTATTGTGATTATTTATACTTATGTTCACTTTTGGTGAACTATATATTGCAAATTCCATAGGAAGAATTTAAGTCATTTGAAATAATTTTTTTGTTGTTGTTATATATTTATGTGTTAAAAGAACTCCTTTTGGAATTGTGAAAGAGAACTACTTGCTCCTCCTTGAAATTTGTAGTCTCTATATTTATACCCAAAGAAAAATTAGCATTAATTTTATAATTTAAAATGCTAGTTCACTCCCAAGTTTATTATACTCTGTGCTCTGAAAACTGTGGAATATATACTGGGGACTGAATTGCTCATTGGAGTAAATATTAATATTTGTAACTATATAATTGACTTATATTCACTACTGAGATTTAATTCTTTTAGTGCTTCTTTCAATTGTAATAGATTTGAAAATAAAGTTTAATTTATTTACCTATTTTACATAATTCATACTATTTTGTGGTTAAAAGAAAGTACATTTATCTTTTTATCTGAACTAGAGATAGAATAAGTTTTACAGGTCAGGAGACTTTAAGACTGTAGCTTTAAGACAATTCTTACCTCTCTAAAGTAAGTCATTTGCTATATGTATGTATAAAGTCATTTAACTTAGAAATATTACATGTGGTCTTAGCCAAAGGCCTGAGAAGTGATATGCAGAAAAAGCTGAATAAAGAGACATTAATTCTGACAGCATATTACAAAATAAAATTTTGCTCTTGATTTTAAAAGCCACTGCTTCTTAAATTACTCAGATGTCAAGTAAGTGCGTAAAATGTTCCAATTTACTTTATTTATTTTCTCATTTCAGTGAAGGATAGTTTTTCTGCCCATCCCTTTTCAAAATCAATCATGTATTTGAAAGAAGTAAAGATAAAACTTTATACAGCTCTCTAGGTACTTGTAGCCAACAGTATATGGCCTGCTTACCTCTACCCCTTCTTTATAAATTGAGGAAAGTCACTCTCTATACACATCTATTACTGGCATCCTGCCATTCCTAATGTTAAATAGATTACTTTACTCAGGGGGCATGTCCTTTTCTCTCTCCTTTCCAATCAGTGTCTGATTGGCTTCCCAGTAACCTTATTCTAGAATGTGTATAGCTAAAATGAAGGCCTACAATTTCCCTTTTCTAGCCAAATTTTATTTTTTAAAAAAACCCAGTTTTAGAAAAAGCTTACTTTCTTTCCTAAACAGAAGGATTAATGAGTACTCTTCTGGCAAAATAATGATCTCTTCTTTTTTATTTGTAATGTATTTGTGATTCAAGAGTTCCTACTTTTAGCATTCTCTGCTTGTAGCAGATTTTCTTATGTCACCTATAAGATGTTAGTGGCTGGTTGGCTTCTCTTTCCTTTTTGAGTTTTCAGAAGACCTGGAGAGATTATTGTAGTGTAGCAGTGAATGGAACAGCCATTCTTTGGTCTACCTGAAATTAAGAGTAAGTATATAAAATATTCCTATTTCTTCAGCAGGAAACGAAGATGGAGGGTTCTGTTTTTCACTTATCACTAGTCAAAAAGAATTACAATTCTCAGGAGCAAATTGAAAAGTTAGGGGGAAAATATTTTCAAGAGTACAAGTTCTCCAGGTGCTGAAGGGATTGAACACATCAGATCTGAGGGATGTATCAACATCGACATTTGTGAAAATGTGCATGAAGAAATACACATTGATTTTAAATGGCATGCCACAAAAGCCTAAAAAGTAACGCATGATTTTCCATCTTCTAACTTAGATGGAAAAACATGTGTTTTGCTCGCAATTTTGTCTAAGGGAAATGTGAACTCCCAGCCAAATCCATTCACATGCAGACCCTTTTTCTGAGATTGCTTTCAAATGTAAGCATAACATATGTTGTTCTGTAGGAAAATAAATAAATAAAGTGAACTTTTACAATGTAAATTCCTAATATACAGGATTATGAGAAAGAGTCACGTGTTTAAAATAATGCGCAGATTTCCCTCAAGGTAGACTCACAGGGGCAGGGGCGACGGGTAGGGACTTTAACCCTTGCATATTTTACATTACCTTATGGTGCCTGCACATGTGCCAGAACAATTTTCCTGGGTCAAGACATAGGCAGTCAGGCTCAATAACCACATTAGGAAGAATGATAGGCCAATGGCACATGTGTTGACAGATATTCCTTAGCCAGTGAAAGGAGATAGAGAAAATTAGATGATGAATCTTAAGGACTGAAGCATACACTGTAGTTTTTCTAAATCACCAATTATTGTGTTCTTCCCAAGGTCACCAAATATGTGTTGGCTGCCTTTGGTGACACAGGAAAGTCCTTAGAGTCTATATGAATGAGCTCTGGAATTACTCCCATGATGAACTGCTAACCAATTTGTCTCCACTGGCGCTTGAATACAAAATTAGAAATGAAGGTCTTCTGGACTGCATCGTGGCCTGTGGAAGAGAACTGAATGATTTATTCTCACTCATTTTCTCCACTTTCCATGCTAAAATATTTTCACATGGTCAATAAATTATGGAGGATGACATTAACAAGATGAACTGTGGATGAAACTATGTAAGCCTGAATATTTATAAGAATGTGGAATTGATATTTTACTTTTTCTCCAACTAGCTCTGGACTTGTGGGATCTGTTAAATGAGGGCATCTAACTTACTTAATTCAGATTAATTTAGTAAGGAGTCTTGAAAACTGATGAATTATGGGTCATTAATAATGTAAAAAGAGGGTGCTTCATACTTAGGACATTTCAGTGAAAGAAGGTGACATGTATGGAATGAGTAAGATGAGGCACCACTCCTTTTTCGGGAAGCCTTTGGCATTGAAACACTGAACTTGATGATGACCTGGGGCGACACATGAGTTCTGATGTGCCAGTGATGTCTATTTGTCATCCAGAGGATCAGGTTAGCATTTGGCAGAAGTTGCTTAGGACCAGAGGAGAAGGCTGCTGTTGCAAGCTGTCCCAGAGCTGGAGGCATGTTCTAAGAATAAAGGAAAGGATGTTTAATTCAGGCATAGTCAGACATTAGAGAGAAGCTAAAATGTTCTACTTGGAGAAGGTTATATGACTCACTGCTGAGGGAAAAAAAAACACATATTTTGAAAAGTCAAAATACTACAAAGAGATTGTTAAGAAGTCATTTAGGCAGAAAGCGAGCAACAGTACTAGCAACTAACATTGTGACTTTACAATGTACTATACTTTGTACTCTACTTATTGTACCTTATTTCAATCTCAAGACTACATTTTGAGATAGGCATGTCTTAGGTTCTTTCTGATTTTTGGTTATGGACTCTGTCTTACATTTATAGCAATAATAAAAATATGCCTGAAGTCTCTGTAGGACACACGGCTCCATCCTAAGTCTTTGAGCAGGTGCCAGGCAGTGAAAAAAAAAAAAATCAGAAGAAAAAATTTTGTTAAACACTTCATACTATACTGGTTTATACCTGAGTTTTGCGTAATCAATAATCTGAAATCTTCATGTGTTTTTCAGTCTTCAAGAGGATAATCTATTTCCTGGAATCCATTAGGATCTTGGGCTCTAAATATTTGACATTTTGTTCTTTAGATATCAACTTCCTGCACTCAAAGGTACTGATGTGACAAGCACTTGGAACATGTAGGATGCTAGTGACCCCAGTGGACATTGAAATGAGAGATGATGAAGCTTATTTTTAGCAGAGTATTTAGAGGGACCCCATGGGCTAATTTTCACTTAGGGCTGCTCATGTAACAGTTGAAGATGTGCTAATAGGGTACACTGCCAAGGTCTACGATTATTGTTATTTAGCACTTTATTTTAAGAGCTTTAAGCATCATCCAGAAATATTTATTAAGTGCATGTATGTGCACGGCTGGGATGTCTGAGTGCTGGACAAGCTTTGTAGATCTAATAAGTGAATAATTTCAGCCTTCAGCATATGAAGAGGAATGAGGGCCACTATTCCCCATGTCCCATTGAACAGAAAAGATTTGCTTAGTTCTTTCCACAAAAGGTATCAGAGTTTTAAAAAGTTGGAATTCAGCCTTTGCTACTCAAGTTACCCTCTCATATGCCACATATTAAATATACTAAATGGAGAAATGAAAAGTAACCTGGGTAGTTTAAAGAGTGTAGCAAGGTGGCCTGGATCAGTGTAGTGCAACCCCCCTCCCCTGCTCTATAAAAGTTGTTTGATGGCTTTTGTTGGGTTACATGAATACCTTTTTACTTTTCATTTCTTTACCTTATTGTGTGTAAAGTAGGACTTGGCTATTTTATGCCGCTGCCTTATCTGGATAGATCCTATTTTGATTTTTTTTTATCATAATAGGATAGAAATTTTAGGATATCCGAAGACAGACTGGTCAAAGGCTTTTATTGATCTTAATTCTTTGTCAGTTTTAATGTTCTGCAATATGTAGATGCAATCCATGTTTCTCCCAGTCCTCTGTAGAAATATGGAAATCCTCAATCATCAGAATGATCTGGAACTGCAGAGCTGGTCAAGTTCATGGCTGTTGAGGATGGGAATAAATACTTTTTTGCATTTGTATGCTAGCCACACTTCTGCAGGAATTATCAAATGACTTCTCCAAGAAGGGATAGGATGGTCTCATCATTTTATTACTTTTCCTAAGGAAAAATATAGAAGTCTATAGAGAAATTTGATTATAACTTCTTTTTGCCTTATTTGGACAAAGGAGAAGTTTCTTCCTCCTCTATCTATAGTTAAGAACATGTTATGAAACTGAATGTTTGTGTCCTCCAAATTCATCTTAAAATCCTAACCTGCAATGTGTTGGTATGAGGAGGTGGGACTTTGGAAGGTGATTAATTCTGAGGGTGGAGCTGTCATGAATGGATTTGTGCCCTTATAAAAGGGACCCCAGAGTACTCTTTCCACCATATGAGGATACAAACAGAAGTTACGATCTGCAAACTGGAAGGTCTTCACCAGAACCCAACCATGCTGGCACCCTGACCTCAGACTTCAACCTCCAGAACTATGAGAAATAAATGTTCCTTGTTTGAGCTAGCCAGTCTATGGTGTTCTGTTATAGCAGCCTGAACTAAAATAAATCATATTAATAACAAAAATCCCCAGAATAACTTAAGAAAACAGAATTCATAAGCAAAGGGTTTTGAGCAGGGAATTTGCAGATATTGCTTCTTTTCTTCTAGGCAAGTAAGTATCATAACTTTAGGAAAAGGGTGCTATGAAATCAGCATTCCATGGAATATGTATTGCCATGAAAAGGAAAACTCATTACATAAGGGTTCCAGGGGTTTAAGGTTTCAGGTCTTCCATATACTTAGTCTCATAGGTGTCTTGGATAAAGTTCAGATGTGTTTTAATGTCCAACTACAATCAATAAAAAAATTGACCTTATTTTGACATTTGATTTCTTTATCTAATTAAATATTTAATTCCCCTTGAGTAGGGATTCTTAAAACAATTCTGAAAAAATATGTATTTATCCAACAATTAGTCATATGAACAAAAAATAAGCACAAGCATGCATTATTATTTTGCCCCACTCAACTGCTAATACTTAATACTACATAGAATAAAAACAAAAAGCCATGAATTAAAATAATTACATTGGAAAATAGTTGTGAAGATTAAATGAGATGTTTATATAATGCCTTACACAGTGCTTAGCATACGTAGATGCTTAATAAACATTTAATAGAATATTTTTTAAAAGGTATTAATCATCTATTAATATGTAGCAAAGAACATAACCTTTATGAATCATTACTTTGTCCAGTGTATCCATGAAGTATATATTACCTATTTGTTAGCCACCAACATCGCCTGCTCCTGACATCCGGCTGTCAACATCATCCTGGCTTGGTGATCCAGGATCACTTGACACAGACGATCCTCCTTCCATATATCGTCAGACTGCCGATAGTAACCTTAATGCTATGTCACAATGCCTATGTCATTCACCTCACTTCATTTCACCATGTAGGCATTTTATCATCTCACATCATCACAAGAAGGATGAGTACAGTATAATAAGATATTTTGAGAGAGAGAAGAGAGACAGAGACCACATTCATGTAACTTTTAGTACAAAACATTGTTATGATTGTTCCATTTTTATTATCATTTTTGTTGTTAATCTCTTACTGTGACTAATTTATAAGTTAAACTTTATCATTTTTAGGTACGTATATATAGGAAAAAACAGTATATGTAGGGTTCGATACTATCCACGGTTTCAGGCATCCACGGAAGGCTCTTTGCATGTATTCCCCTATGGTCGAGGGGGAACTACTGCACACTTATTTTGTGTATCAGTTGGGAAAAATTAAATTACTTTTGAGTGCTTGTTTTATTTTCCATGAAATAGAGATAATAATAATTAATTCATAGGGTCATAGTGAGCATTAAATTTGATAAAACATGTATATAAAAATGTTTTTTAAAATGTTAAGTGGTATACAATTCTAATTGAGTTATTTTAAGTGTTACTTACATAAGGATAGAAAATTTAAGCAGCACAGAAGGGTACAAAATAGGAAGTAAAAATCTACCCGCCACCCTCCATAATCCCAAAGGAAACCTCTCTTAACTCTAAATAAATATGTACTCATTTAATATTGTCTGACACATATATGGAGATAGGAGAAGAATGCTTTAGTTGATGGAAAATATACAGTTAGAATAAAAAATGTTATTTTATAAAAATAGGTTCTCACTTTAAAATTTTTTAGTATTATATATTATTGACTTTAAGAAGGAAAAAGTAAAACAGAAGGAACTGTGGGATGTCACATAAAAATTTTGTCATCATGAGAAAGATCTGTCTCTTTGAAAAAAAATTCTCATCATTTGATAGGAAAAATCATTGTTATGAATCATTAATGTATTTTTAAATGTTTTAATTTTAGACTATTTTGATTGAGTCTGACCTATACCACTCATTTCTTCTCACTATCTGTTTCCTTGTCCTTCAATTTTTCCTAGTTATGTTATTATTTGCATGTTATCAATGTTTATAATATTTACATAAAGTTGGCTTGATTTTCACTACAGTTGTTAGATGTTTGTTCTATATTTAAATAGATTCTTTGATCATCACTAAATATTTTATCCCAGCTTTTCCATGTCTGAATTCTTTATTTTGATCTGTTTCTTGGTTAGCTAAATTTAATTCTCAAATAATTTTTGCAAAAGAGTCATAATTCAAATGTTTTGTATGCTTGGTTTCCTTAATTTTCCCATGCCTCATATGCATAGATAGCTTCCCTCAATTATTCCAAATTCCCATGATAAATTACAAATCTCTCAAATCATTCCCCTTGTATTTACATAGATCTCCCTTCTGAAGTTCCATCTACTTTTCCCAATCTGGTTTTATTAATAACACCCTCCAGGCTTAGTACTCTCCAAAGCTGTTTTCTGAAAGTTCCCTTCATTTCTCTCTTGAGCAAGCACCACAAATTCTTGATTTTATGTCTTTTTTCTTGCTTTACTCCATTTGCTATAGCACATCCAAATACCTTTTTAAGATAAGATATGTGAGAAGTAAATTGTAATTCCAAGTGTTATTCTAATCTAATACTTGATATAGATTAGTCAGGTACAGAATTCTTGGTTGAAATTAATTTTTCTTCTGCTGTTTTGTGGTTTCATTGTGTTGGTTCTTTTGGACCTGAGTTAGTTCTGAATATTGTCCAATATTTTCTAGTATCTGGTGTTGCTGATAAGAATTCTGATGCCAGTCTCATTCTATAACTTTTGTAGTTTTCTTTTGTTTCTCCCTAGAAGTTTTCAGGATCTTTTATTTATTCTTGGTATTCTGAAATTTCACAGAATAATAAATGTCTTTTTTAAAAGATGTGTTATCCTGAATTATAAATAAACCTTTTATATGGAAAAAGGTTTGCCTTAAATGTTGGTATATTCTTTTGTATTAGTGTTTTGATTATTCCTTTCTTTGTGTCTTCTCTTTTTTTTATTTCTATGGCTCTTGTTGAGAAATTGGACCTCATGGATTGATGCACATGACTTATGATTTTTCTATTTTTTCCTTTTCATTTTCATTCTTTTGAAGAGATATTCTCAAATTTATATTTTTTTTAAAAAGTTTTGGCAGTCATATTTAAATATTTTTCTAAGAGCTCTATTTCCCTTAGTTCCTTTATAATACCCTGTTTTTATCTAGAAAATACAATGTTTTCATATACCATTCTGAAATACTTAGAATTATGTTTCTCTTTTTAAAAAATTGTTATTTTTCCTTAAATATTAGTTTTCTCTAGAATTTTTTTTTCTGTATGTGTATCTCGGTTTCTTTTTCATATGGCAAGAAATTTCCTTAAATATGTGGGGAGTCTTGATTAATTTTTGTTGTTTTTATTTTGAGACAAGATCTCCCTCTGTTGCTTAGACCAGGGTGCAGTGGCAACATCATAGTTCTCTGTAATCTCAAATTCCTAGACTCAAGAGATCTGCTTGCCTCAGTCTCCTGAGTAGCTGGGACTACAGGTGCATGCCACCATGTCCAACTAATTTTTAAATTTTTTTTTTAGAGACATGGTCTTGCTATATTGCTCAGGCTGATCTTGAACTCTTGGCCTCAAGCAGTCCTCCTGCCTCAACCTCCCAAAGGCATGAGCTACTATAACTGCCTGAAAAATTTGTTTGTATTTAAGAAGGAGGCAATAAAATGCTCTAGATTCAAGGACAGGGCTCATTAACTTTTGTACTTAATGTTAGTGGGTTAAAGGACTTGTCGTCACACTGAAGGACCTTCGACTGTCAGAAAGCAGAGGTTTTTGCATTGGAGCCATTCAGCTTCAGCAGTGAAAAATCCCACAAATCCTGGCCCTCTTGGGTATGGTGGAATGGGAAGAGAGATTTTTGGCTTCTGGGAGTTTTGTGCCATGGGGTAGAGGAGATTGAAGACACCATACACAGAATTTAAATATACACCCTTGTCTTCAGCTCCAAGTCCTGAGTCTCCTTAGAGTTCTGGAGGGAACATGCATTTGCTTTCTGGCTATATCCCTTTCTATGTGTGCTCTAGGCTTTATCTATAGTGCTGAATCAGATATTTTCTGTTTTCTAAAACTTTCTTTGACAACTTGCAGCTGTTAATGACTTTTTCCTATTCATTTGTCCTTGGAGGATTATATTGTTATATTTAAAAAATGTTTTACTGTCATTTTACCGGGGCCTCAAAGAATGAGGATATTAACATGTGGTGCCTCTACTGTATTGATCCAGAAGTCTGGATCATATGGGATCCATATTGGGATTCATCAATATGGATTGGGATTCAATCAATATGGGATTCATATTGTGGGCCTACTCTAGTCAATTAATTGTGGATACCTAGGGCATTGTGTTGAGAAAGAAGCTAAGACAGTGTTTGGGCTACATGACGGAGCACAGAAAGAGACAGAAGTGATACCTATGCGATGTAGTCTCTGTCCCTCTAATGCATCATGATGTGTACAAAACTGGAACACAAAATAAAATTTCTGTTCAAAATATGTGTAAAAAGAAAACTTAGAGCTGGAATAGATTGATAAAATAACAACTAAAATGTTCCAGGTGGATACAGAATCTCTAATTTAAAAATTTACACGTTTTCATTCTAGAGAGACAAAAGCTGAGTGGGTTTTTTAGCCATTGAAAACTTTATAGGTACCCTTGCAGTTGAGTTCATTTTAAGTTAGAGAATCTAGAGCAGGTGTTTGTCCCCAGAATTTATACAAGCTAAAGAAAATAAACAGACCCAAGAAAGGTTTAGATACACTTAATGATTGCAGATCTATAGCAGTGAATAATGGAAATTGGATATATTTACTGATTTATTTACTTCTGAGATAAAAAGAACTTGCCATTATTGAAAAGATACATTGGCACCACTGTCAACTTGATAGGTATGGGCTTAATCAACATGACATTCATTATGTAATAACTACCCAGAGATAGTAAACTTATCAATGCATTTTATACCTAGGTAGAAAGTCATGCAAGCTTTGCAGTGATCTTAAGAAATTGTGTACTATAATCAAATGAGCACTGAAGTAAGAGTCAGCAGACCTACTTTCTAGTTTTGGCTAAGCATATAACTCCCTTTAAAGCCCTGAGCTAGTCATTTAGGCTTTCTCAGCAGAACTTCATCTTTAATTACTAGTGAAACTGTTAGACTTCTAAGACTCTGGTAGCCCTTATAGGAGAAACCACATATATCACCATTCTTGCTCCCCATGCTGCACAACTCATGGCTAAAAAGCCCAGATCACTGGCCGGGCGCTGTGGCTCACGCCTGTAATCCTAGCTCTTGGGAGGCCGAGGCGGGCGGATTGCTCAAGGTCAGGAGTTCAAAACCAGCCTGAGCAAGAGCGAGACCCCGTCTCTACTACAAATAGAAAGAAATTAATTGGCCAACTGATATATATATATAAAATTAGCCGGGCATGGTGGCACATGCCTGTAGTCCCAGCTACCCGGGAGGCTGAGGCAGAAGGATCACTCGAGCCCAGGAGTTTGAGGTTGCTGTGAGCTAGGCTGACGCCACGGCACTCACTCTAGCCTGGGCAACAAAGCGAGACTCTGTCTCAAAAAAAAAAAAAAAAAAAGCCCAGATCACATAGCATGATTGAATGTACTAGTTACATTTTCAAAAGTGACAAAATGTCCCAATATACTTAGTATAGTCACTTCTTGATTTTCCATGTTAACAGAAAAAAAAAAATGGAAAATAATTCTTTTAAACAGATCAGCTTTAAAAAATGTGCTTGGCTTGAGATAGCATCATGTTTAACACATTGATTGCCATACTAGAAAAAAATTTTTTTCCATGGGGCCACAGTGTTTTATTATGAAAACAGAATGAAAATTTTGAAAACAAAACAATCTTTTCTCACTTAATGAAAAATTTAATGAAAAACAAAATTTATTGACTTCTATTCATTTAATCCACATTTTTAGAATCAATTTATCAATATTAATTGTAACGATAAGAACATCAAAGCATAATATTTCTGAAACCAACTGCAGAGTTTTGCCCAGGTTTTGCTTCATGAGCCCCCAGGCTCAAAACTAGCATGAGTTAAACACAACTCACGTGGCAGCAAATGTGTTAATAATATTTTTACAAGAATTATTATTCCAAGTTATGTTTTACTTTGGCTAATATAAAAGTTGAAGATATTTCTTGAGGACACAACAATTTCATATTTGGAGAAAGCAGCCTTAGAATTGACTTGTATGAAACATTTTGTATTAATATTTGCTATTAATATTAATATTTGCTCCCCAGAAAAAATGATCTACAGCTATGTAAAATTAATAATAATGATACCTACACTGTACAGCAATTATGTGGTGGTTTGAAGAATGTTTTTAAAGGATGTGTGCAATTCTTGGATACACCTCCATCTAGAGGTGGAGTCTAACCAGAACACACTTTAAGAATCACCTTTTATTATTTATTCCCAAAATTTTTCTGGGAGAGCAAACTTATATTCCTGTTTCACAGATAAGGAAACTGAAACTCAGAGAAATTAAATGGATAAATACACTAAACTAGTTCAAGTTCCTCTTTTTGCCAATGTGGAACATGAGGACCAGAGAGGTGAGATGACTCATGAAAGTCATATAGCCTGTCAGTGGAAGCACTGAGACATTTTCCAGTCCTCTTTCCAGTAATTAGATATTTATATATGTATATCTCCTGCTCCATAACAACCAGACTTGCTTTTCATTCAAAAAAATAGAAATGGCCAGGATCACTTTCACATTCAGGTGGAATTGTATTTGCATCAGCAGAAATAGTGGAAAGGGCATAGGCCTTTTCAAATCAATTTTCTAGTTTTGTTCTTACAGTGAAGTTATTTGACTTCTCTGATCCACATTTCCATCATCTGTAAAAAAAAAGATGAAAGTGCTTACCTTAGAGTATTGTTAGGAAAACAATATAATGAATAAAAGTTGTCTGGCATAATGTAAGTACTAAATAAATGTATCTTATAGAAAGTATCTTGTAAAGTCACTTTTCATTATCATATTATAATTTTTATTTTTTTTCCAGAGGGCCTGAAATGATAAAAGCCATAATATTCTAGTATAATAATAATATCCACTGTGGTTTATCTCATTTAATCCTCACAGCACATGAGGTAGGTAATATTTTTCACATTTTTAGATGAGGAAACAGGCATGGAAGAGTGGTTAAGTAATGTGCTAGTGTTAGTTGGGATTTGAATCTTGGCAGAACAGGAGGGGAGAGAAAATATCTTTTAGGACCGTGGTTAAAAAAAGAATCTGTTAACTATTTGACTTCCCCTTAAGGCCCTAAAGGGGAATAAAATGAAGTGTAGTATGCTTGATAACAGCCAAATCTTCCACCAAGCCAGACCGTTTCCCAATCTTTCTGGAAAGTAAATCAGATTCTGTATAAATTGTATGTAATGTTAATGTTGCTTAAGAGAAGGTTTTTCTGGGATGTCTGGGATTCATTGTATAAGGTCTTCAGTGTAATTTTCATGCTCCAGATAAGGGCTCCTAATGTGAAACGTGTAAGCTCTAATGAAGCTATGAAGTGTATTTGAAAACTAAAGCCTAAGACACCACCATTAGGAACTATTTCAGGCTTAGAGTGAACCTGAGATGTCTGTTTGGATTGCACTATAATTTTTAGATTTATGATTTAAAAGTTTTTGGTAACTTGCTTTATTGTAATGTTACAGATAGATATCTAGCACATGTGTATTATATTACTTGTTTAAATCTTGTAGCTTTCACATTGTAGAAAGCCCTGCCATTGATCAATAGTCACCTTATTCTTTCATAAATAATGTAATAGAGTTATTACACTATTAGAAATTTCTAGTTTGTGAAAATATCTTGTAAAATTACATATGTCACAAAGTAATTCTAATAGTTTTAATCATTTCTCTTAGCAGCTCATTAAGGATTGTTCACAAGGGAAGAGTTTGGGGAAATACCTCAGATGTTAAAGCTCAAAGGCATATTGTAACTGCAGTTCTTGATTTGCTCAGAACTCATCAGACTGTTACAACAGTCAACTTGTGCTGTATACTTTTTCTCTTGCCTTTAATAAACTTCTCCCGACCCTTCCTTATCATTCCCTGCAGCTCACATTATTAAATGAGGATGCATTGGTTAACTAATAAAGTGACATGTATGCTTTTGATTCAAGGGAGAGAGGCTGATGATTGAGCACGTCTATGAATTAAGACCAGACTTTCACCTTGCTAAAAACAGCTGAAGCTTTGCGCAGTGGCAGTATCGTAGCCAATGAGGTTTATCCGAGGCGCGATTATTGCTAATTGAAAACTTTTCCCAATACCCCGCCATGACGACTTGCAATATAGTCGGCATTGGCAATTTTTGACGGTCCCCACGGGGACTGGATAAAAAAAAAAAAATAAAAACAGCTGACGCTTACGTATTATCTGAGGCTGCTGGGAAGCTAAGTGTCTACTCTAAAATTTTTCCTGGTTTTGATAGCCAAGATGGAGATGAATTTTACAGTTTTGACAACAGAAACCCATAGAAATGCTAGATAAAATAAATAAATACACAACCAAGCAAACAAGAAAAAGAACATGCATTTGATAAAATTAAGAATGAACAATAGCCATAATGATAATTATGTGAGCTCATGAAACCATGGACCAAGTGGACATAGCACCAAATAGAGGCATAAAATCTACTCATGAAAAAAAGTAAACCACACAAAGAAATAATGCATCAAAATGTAGACAAATAGCACAACAAAAAGGAGAATTTGCTCCCCAAAACCTGAAAAGTTAGAACTACTCAAAATATTCCATAAAATAAATATATTTGAAGTGATTAAAGAGATAAAAAAGGATATAGGGATTTTTTTTAAATGACATGACAAGACACTGTAAGAAAAGAATAATGATTATTTGAAAAAGAATATTTCAGAAATAAAAAATAGTAATTGAAATTTAAAAGTCAATGAACATCATGTGAGGCAAGCACTATCATTAATCTCTCAATTTAACCATTTAACAGATAAAGAAATTGCCACTGAGAAGATTAAATAATTTTCCCAATGTCACATAGTTTATAAATGGTGGAGCTGGACTTGAACCCAGGACTCAGACACCAAAGTTTATGCTTTTGACTATTATGGTATACTGCTTAACAAAAATCTTCAAGAGTATTACCGCCAGGATTTGACCTATTATCCTGGAGCCTGGAAGTGAAGAACGTCAAGAGAAACTGGAGATAGATGGGCCCAAGACAGCAGAACAGAGAGAAAGAGCGTCACCTTGGGAGTGAAAAGCCCCTCTGTCATCAGCGTAGTGGGACAAAGATGCAATAATTTTCTCATGGACCAGATAACAGGAGTATGGGAAAGTGGTGTTACAGAGTTTACTTTGACTTCTACTCCCTCACCCCAAGACACTGCGTGTTTAGGAGGTGTGATCTCGAATGAGTCAGTTGGCTGATACATGCCCAGAGGCAGGGGAATCATAAACCAGCTAGCAAGCTGGTAAAGCATCGGAAGCATAGTAAAGCATAGTAAAGCATCAGGGAAGCTGTGATTGGAGGAACCCAGCAAGGATATCATTGCCAAACTCACAAATGCATCCCATAAGAGGAAGAATCAGCTTTGGAATACTGCCCACACAGATTATATCCCCATCACTCAATTTAAGAGCTCTCCTGTTGTTTACCTGTCCTCCCTCACTCCTCAGCTCCAGGTCTAATAGAACCCAGAGAAATCCTAAGAACAGGCACAGGGGGATGAATTACACAGGTGGAGAAAAGAGAGAAGGCAAGTGTTCCCTTCAGACATTCTGGATTTTCAGACCCAGAGTAATACTAAGCGGGGCTGGGAGCAGGATAAGGGGTGGCAGTAGTGATACGAACAAGAAGCAGTGCTTATAACATTTTTATTCCTGTAAAGAGACTATGGATATTCATAAACGGACTGGAGCACTTTTATTAATCTGAGCATAATGGAAAGATTTTGAAATCTGCCAAGATTTCACTATAGCAGCGAGGAAGAAATAGCTCACAGAGTAAATCTGAAGAGACATGGTGAAAAAGAAATTTTTGTTGTTTTGTTTTTGTTTTTCCTATTTGTATCCTATTGAGTTCAGGCCATTCAATGTCCAGGTTTCATATACGACTTGTCCAAGGTCATGTGGTGGTTAATTGGCAGAATGGAAATTAAAATTCAGGAACTGTTTACACTATATGGTAATGACTGTCTTTAAAAAGGAGAATATTTGGTGCTTATTTGCATAATTAGAAAGCTTAGTTTCATCTCTGAGTAGTTTTTGGCCTAAAGGATAAAAACACATGCAAAAATGCTGGAGCCAAAAGAATGATGCTCTCTCCAAAAAGGACAACCCAAGTCTTGGCTGACTTGGGTTTGGAATTCCCCTGGACATGAGGCCGAGACCTTGAGAAGCCAGGATTTCCCCGGGGAAAAAATACTCACGGAGAGAGTGATATTTCCAAAGTAAAACCTAGAGAGAGAGTCCCCAAAGGACACTGGATCTTAGGTTTTTGGCAGAGAGGTGGTGGTTTTGCTAGTAGAGTGGGAACAAACCACTCCCACCCCTCACTCCCCAGCGTGCTTCCCTTCGTACGCATGTAGGAAGGCTGGTAGAAGGTGTTCTCCACAATGACAACACACAGCACAGTGCTCACCGCTAAATAAAGGATGATCGTATCTTCCTGCCGAACACAGTGGGCTTTTCAAACAGATTATGAGGAGCCTGCATTTTGTCGATAAACCTCTAGTAATACCCAGAGGAAAACCAGAACACAGACGGGATTTGAAACTGTAGCCTGGCTAGTGACAGGATCCAGGCCTGGAGCATGGCTGTGGAGGGGCTGGTCGGGAAGGGGGAGGGGAAACCAGGTGCAGCACAGGAAGGGGATTTCGTGCAGAATCTGCTTTCAACTCATCAGTTGGAAACGTCACTCTTACTGGAAACCATGTTAATGAATGGCAATCAAAACATATGGGTTGTACTGTTTTATAATACAGTATTTGTTTCCTGGAGCTGCCGGCTCAACTATTTGTATGAAATTTGTGTTTTAATGTAATATGGCCTCAATATATAGTGAGGGTTTGGACATCAGCCATGAATTGGATGTGAATTTCCTACAGGAAATTTGCCATCCAAGCACTTTGCTCACTCGAAAGCTCTGAAAACCAGCTTTTTTTTCAGCTCCCTCCACGCAAACTTTCTGGAGCTCACTGGAAAACTCAATATTGACAGGAGGCTTTGAAGTTGGGTTTATTGTTCCTGTTTCCTTTTAAAGAAAAGTTACTTCGGGCTCACTTTTACAAAAAAAACTTTCAAGAAATTTTTATTTGCTATAGATGCTAGTAAGGTAAGAAAGAGAAAGTAAAACTGACAATATTAGATAGCGATTTTCTTTGTTTGCAATTTCAAAATATTCTTCAGGAACACATTGTCATTTTCCATTAATGGTAGCCTTATTATTGGAAAATAATTTGTTAGATGTTTGATGTTTAACTAAAAAAAAAAATAAAAGTTTTAAGTATAAATTATATTATGTATATATTTTATATTTTTACATGTGTATTAAAAATACTTTTATATTTAAAAGTATTATATATATAAAATATGTACATGGCTGGTGCAGTGGCTCACACCTGTAATCTAGCACTTTGGGAGGCTGAGGTGGGAGGATTGCTTGAGGCCAGGAGTTTGAAATTGCAGTGAGCTATGATTGTGCCACTGTACTCCAGCCTGGGCAAGAAAGCGAGGTCCTATCTCCTAAAATATGTGTGTATATATATGAAATATATCTTATGTGTATATTTAATAAAATATTAAATGTGAAATTTGTAACTTTTCCCTCTCTTCCTCTCTCAGTA